ATTTTTTTAATTAAATTAGATGGGTAAGAATCAAACTCGGGTCCTGCTGTGTCATATTGCAATGTGCTGATCACTGGACCACAATGGTGCTGTTGTTATAGACTTGTCTATTGACGGCTTAATCTTTTTCTCCCCTCTCAAGATTTCTGACCAATTTATGTCAGATTTATTAATGTAGTGAATCATCTGATTTCATTGAGCAGGTGTAATATTCATTAATATTAATTATTTGAATTTTTATATTCACTAAGGTGCCGCTGTTTGGGGTCGAATAATAGTTACGTCATCATTAACCTGCAGGCTGCATTTTGCTCACGGAGCTGCGAGAAAATAAATAAAAATCGCGGAGCTGCGGCAAAATAATGAATAAAAAGAGTGAGGCTATGGTCAAATAAATAAATAAATGAAATAAAGTGCGACTGCTGAGAGTGCAAGCAGCTAGAGACACCGGCCCTCGCGGCCAAAAAACGGACCGGCCCACCGGGAATTCTCCCGGTCCTCCCAAATAGCCAATCCGGGCCTGGGTCAGGTCATTGGCTAGGCCATTCCAGCAGCTTTATTTTCTTTCTCTGAAAGCATTTGAGAGATTTCTTGGCTGTCTTTTGGATCATTGCCTCACTGAAATGTCCACCCTGGTTTCATCGTCATCATCCTAGTAATGTAAAGCAAGCTAGTATTAATTTACACTGATGAGAGGCAAGGGCTGCTTTCTAGCTACTGAGAGATTTCAGCTGCTGTCTGGGCTTTCCATGTCTTTTTTACACCTCCTTTTTTCATGCGTTTAATACTTTTTCAAGCCAAGTTAAGCTTTATTGTCATTCCACTACACGTGTAGACATAAATTGGCACAAAATGTCATGTCTCGCTGGATCACGGTGCTACAAAAATAATAATAAAACAAATAGAAACATAACACTGGGCGTAAGAGTCATTTTTACACATAACTATATGTATACTACAAATAGTTAACTATAGACATAAGGTTAGGCAAACTATACAAGTATTTCATGTAAAACAGAAACAATATTGTGCAATATTTTGTGCTAACAAGGATTTTAAGGTTGAAAAAGTAAAAAGAGCAACATTATTCATGGTAATTTCACAAGTAATCATTGTTTGCCTATTGAGTCCCTGTTAGATTGAGTTTAAGAAAAGTTTCTGGTACATATATAGAGAGAGGAGTGTTTCTACAGGTGGTTTGTCAAGCCCACTCACCTATGTGAAGCACACTCAGAAATGTGTTGTTTCATTTTAATACACATAACGTTACATCTTCGAGTCAGTTGGCGTTTCTGCGTGGAGTTTGCATGTTCTCCCTGTAAAATAGCATCATCGTCAGTTCAAAAGGGCCACTCGTCATGCATCATGTGACCTGGCATTGCTACAAAACAAAGAAGTGTTTTACAAGAGACAATGAGGTATTTCATCAGGGATAAACACACAACACACAAGACAAAAGGCAGCTGCCGCTTGTGACTCAAACAAACAGTGCTTTTCTTTGAGCATGTACATCGCTGTGTTCGTGTGTGGTTAAAGATTTGGTTTTAAAAGGCACCATCAGTGCCTTTTTATTGACTTGTACAGCTATAATTAAACATTATTAGCATTTTGTTTATTTTAAATCATAAAAAAAGCAGTCCCTGTGAAAAACTCATAAACATTGAATCTAGCATCTGCAGACATTTTTATTAATATTATAAGGTATATTATAAAATATATTGTTTATTTTTAAAGTGATAAAAGCTAAATGAATACAAACTAGCTATCGAAAAAGCAACAAACCTGTATTATTAGATGATTTTGATTAAATACAAAAGTAATTTTATTATTATGGCAGTTTAGTAGCATTTCCTTATAATATAGTTTAGTCCTTAATATTATTTACTTATTTATTTATATATTTTTTTTCCACATTTCCTGGATTCTCATGTTTGTTTTGAATCTCGATGTACTGTAAATATGGACATTTATGCAATAATTAGTATTCAGTGTATTAGGGTTTGTGCAAAAATACATATTTTTACAATTATGTGAATGTCTGACAGGCTAATTCTCAATAATTCCAAAATTAAATCTGCAGATGTGAAGCATTAATAGGAATATAAAATAAAAATAATGGTATATTACATAATAGCAGCTCAACTAAAACATATGAGACCTGTCGGATATTAATGAAAGTTTCCACTGATAATAAAGGACTGTGGGGAGAAGATGGAGAGAGATAAGGTATGAGAGACAGAAGTGGAGCTGAGAGTGCAAAATAGGTGTTGGAGTGAAGCCACGGAGCTAAAGTAAATACAGTGTGGCATGTGAGTGACCTACATAGAGCCCAGTGAAGGAGGTTAAAGCCAGACCTGTTCATTAGCCTATTATTTCCTCTCTGGGAACAGTAGGCGCCAGGGAAAACTCTGATATCATGATAAAAATATGTGACAGGGAGAGCGATGTGACGTTAAATCTATATTGAGATATCTGATTGAGATTTCTGGTATTCTTGACCAATAGTGTGAACACTGACATAATGAAATATCCGATTCATTCATACTGGAAGCTAGAGGGACCAATTGCATAAACTCTACATTTTCATCACAGAAAAAGTAAAAACATCAAGCTGTAGCTGAATAAAAAGAAGAATGAAATGCCTAAATCAATCAAACATGACAATATCAAAACAAATCTGCAGTATTTGGTTGTTTGTATTCAGCATCATACTCTTACTCATGCTCAAATCTGTATCACATAAGTACTACTGTAGTACATTTATTCACTGCACAGACATGAACAATACAGCTGCAGATTGCTTTTTTATTATTATTGCAAGGAAATCAGTTCTTATTATGGGAAGTGTTTTGACCAGTATATCTCAAATTATAAGATCATCCGACTGTACACAGGAATTGTTTTAACTCTTCCTTCTTCTCTCCAAAGTGCTGACAAATATCCTTACTGTAGTGTGAGAGAAGACATTTTTGTCCGTACCTTTGCATATGTAACAAGTTAAAACCTTTGTTTTTGCTATTATATAATTGTTATAACATAATTTATTTCCGCAGAAGTGTTTGTTCTTGGTTAAATATGTTAAAATGTATATAGTTTATTGCCGAACGTTATATTTGTAAAGCTAAAAGCTAAATTTAGCTATTAAATTTAAAATTAAAATATAATTTAAAATATAAAATTAGCTACTAAATTTAGCTATTAAAAAGCTAAATTTGCTCTCTAGTATGAGTAGAAAGAAGAAAAACAAAAATAATCTACAACAAAATATAACTGATTTTTTTTTACATGATATGTGCGGCGGTTCATTCTGCTGTGGCGACCCCTGATTAATTAAGGGACTAAGCCGAAAAGCTAATGAATGAATGAATGAATGGTATGTGCAAGATTCTTAATTGATTTTAATTATTATAAATAGTGTGGATGATCTTGAAAATATTTGATGTTGCAATAGTGCCTTGTGCTGTTTATTAGAAAAGTGTGTTTCTTTTTCTAATGTTAAAATATTAATCCATTAAATAATATTAGTTAATGTATTTACCAACCTGATCATAAAAGTAGTAATAGATTTATTAAGGTATTACTTCATCTTTCCTTACATGTTAATACCTAAAAAAAAAAAGTAAAAATCTGCACCTTATGGTACCTTAAAGCAGTGTTTCTCAACCACGTTCATTGAAGACCACCAGCTCCGCACATTTTCCATGGCTCCTTCACCAAACACACCTGATTCAGATCATCAGCTCGTTAGCAGAGACTAAAAGACCTGTAATGAGTGTGACAGACAAAGGAGACATCAGAAACGTGCAGTGCTGGTGGTCCTCCAGGAATGTGGTTTAGAAACACTGGCTTAAATGTACATAAATGTGCTGCTGTAAAGTACACAAGTGTACCTTTTGAAAAGGTACCGCTCCAGTGACTAATTTATAAAGGTATTACTTCATATTTGTTAACATTAGTTATTGTAATTTAAGTTAAATAACGTTAATTCATGTTAGTTGATGTGAAATAATGTTAACAAGCACAACATTGGATTTTAATAATGCATTAATAAATGTTGAACTATGAATAATTAATGTTTTACAAGGTTATTTATGCTTAATTCATTTAAATAATTGCATTAACTAGCATTAAGTTATGGACCATTATTCTAAAGCAGGGTTGGGTAACCTTTTTTTCAGCAAAGAGCCCATTTCTGATATTTTTGGCAAATGCATTTTTTAAAAGAGCAATTGGAGTATATATATATATATATATATATGTATATATGTATGTATGTATGTATGTATGTATGTATGTATGTATACACACACACACACGCAAATATGCACCCCAATAAAATACGATTACTATAAATAAAACAGGTTTTAACAAAACCTTTAGGTTCATGCACAAATCAGAAATAAACAAATATGGAGCATCGTCATGTCCATCAATGAAGAAAGACATTTTTTTTTTATTCTGGTAAATAAACTCTTTTTTTCTGAAAAGCAACACAATTTAAAATAAGCAAACATTTTACTATTATAAAAAAAATACATAGTTGCGTGAAAATATTCAAAATAAAGTTTGCGGCAGTAATTTTGGCTAGTTTTAAAGAACATATATAATTGTTATTATATAAATTTTTACTAGTTTTAAAAAACAAAAATGATATTTTACTATTATTAAGTAAACAAAAGTTAAAACAACGTATATTTATATGGTAACCATGCACACACATTTGCCCTTTATTGGTGTCACGATTAAAGTTTATCCACAGCACCGCGCACGTGCATTGGTCGAAACGTAAAAATTGTATTTTCAATAGGAAACTGATTTCTACTGATGGTTATAATTTTTTAGACTGTAAAATATTTTTGAACTAAGACAGCTGGAGAGCCATGTATCTGGTCAAAGAGCCACATGTGGCTTGAGAGCCACAGTTTCCCTACCACTGTTCTGAAGTGACCAAGTTTGTTAAAGCTGTAAATGCTCACTCTCTCTCTCTCTTTCTGTTGCAGAAATATAACATGACCAGAATAAATGGATAAAACCAGCAACTCTTCAAGAAGATGAGACATTGCACTATTTAAATATAGATCACAGACCCTTTACTAGGTTTACAGAGATCACCATCTCCACCAAAAACATCTGCATTCTCTTTACCCCTGCCGTTCACTGACCAGAGCCACCATGTATGGCAGTGCCCGATCTGTGGGCAAAGTGGAAGGCAACCACACTAGTGGGAGCACCCAAAGTCCTGGGCGTTCACCCCGTCTCCCTCGGTCCCCCCGTCTCGGCCATCGTCGCACTAATAGCACAGGGGGTAGCGGAGCCGGTGCCGGTCCAGGTGGTAAAACCCTTTCCATGGAAAACATTCAATCCCTTAACGCCGCCTATGCCACATCCGGGCCCATGTACATGAGTGACAATGAGGTGGTCACATCTGGTCCAGACCTGCCCAAAAGCACCATGACCCTGGGTCGCACCGGTGGACGAGTCCCCTACGGCGTCCGCACGACTGTAATGGGATCCAGTCCAAACATCGCCACTGGATCCCCTGGCACCACTGATGCAATTGCTTTCGGAGATCACCATATGCCTTCCACGTTGGCGTCCACTGTGCCTCATTCGCTACGGCAGGCGCGGGACAACACCATCATGGACCTGCAGACGCAGCTCAAGGAGGTGCTTCGGGAGAACGAGCTCCTGCGGAAGGAGGTGGACGTGAAGGAGAGCAAACTCAGTTCCTCCATGAACTCCATTAAGACCTTCTGGAGCCCCGAGTTGAAGAAGGAGCGCGCCCTGCGTAAGGATGAAGCCTCTAAGATCAGCGTGTGGAAGGAGCAGTACAGAGTCGTCCAGGATGAGAATCAGGTGAGAGAACAGATCGCTTTTTCCAGCAGAATGCTAAACAAAGTACAGGAGTCAACATTTGTGTATCCAAAAAGTTTTTTAAAATTGACTTAAATGAATGTGGTTCAATACACCCTCAGAAAAAATTGGTCACTGGGGCGGTGCCTTTTGAAAAAGTATGTTTTTGTTCCTAACAGGCCCTTAAAGGTACATGGTAATACCTAAAAAAAATAGAAATCTGTACCTCTTAGTACTTTTAAGGTACAAAAGTGTACCTTAAAGCAGTGTTTCTCAACCACGTTTGTGAAAGACCACCAGCTCTGCACATTTTCCATGGCTCTTTAACCAGAGACATCTGAAACATGCAGTGTTGGTGGTCCTCCAGGAATGTGGCTGAGAAACACTGACTTAAAGGTACTAATGTGCAGCTGTAAAGTACAAAAGTGTACCTTTTGAAAAGGTACCGCCCCCGTGACAGCTTTTCTACCTTTATTTGGAGAGTGTAGTTTTAGGACAACATTGATGATAGTTCAAATGTTGACTGCTGCATTTTCAATCTTTGTAATTTCTGACTGATTTCAGCGTGAATGAGAATATTTGAGAGAACAATGTAAAGTAGCATCAGAATTGATGTTTTTTTGTAGTTAAAGGGATAGTTCACGCCCCAAAAAATGTATTAACTCACTGGTTACTCACTCAAGTGGTTACAAACCTTTTTTGTTGAACTCAAAAGAAGATGTTTTAAAGAAAGCTGGAATTTTGTAACCTCCATCCGTAACCTCCATTTGTTTTTCCTACTGTATAAGTCAATGGTTACAGGTTTCCAGCATTCTTCCTAATATGTTCTTTTGCATTCAAGACAAGTTTGGAACAAGTAAAGAATGAGTAAACATTTACATTTTTTGGTGAACTATCCCTTTCATATAATGTCACTTGTATGACATTTTTTTTAAGATGCATTTGTTGTTCTATATAATTATAATCAGTTATAATTATACTTTTTTATTTTTATTTTTATTTTTTTATGTCATGCAGCCCTGATTTATTTTAGTATGAACTATTAGTGATTACTTCAACATAGAGCTAAAAAAGTAATTCATTATTGCTGTCTGAATGTGCCTGGTTTTCTTCTGTTGGCTGGAATAGCCTGCGTTTTAGTGCTCTAGCCAAAGGGCTTCATCTGTTGAGTCGCTATGATATGAAACAGTGCACCTGGCACTGCGAAAAAAAAAAAAAACTATTACTTCCAGATTAGAACTGATTACTAAAGAGCATTGAATGCATGTTTTAGAAATGGCTGCAATTTTCTTTTAGAGTGGTTTAACCGTTTGGAACGGTTTGCTGAGATGAAGCTGATAATCCCAATCAAAGCAGTTTGCTGAGTTCACATAAACAGGTGTTATGATAAAAAGAGTAGATAAGTGAATCTTTCTTTATTTCTTGGCATAAAATAGACAATAGTTCAACAAACCCCTGTTCTTTTTTCCCTCTTTCTTTCAGTCTTTTGCTTTTGTAGTCAAATTCAAAGCGTTTCTATTTGGCCGACTGTAATTGAACACATGCCCTTTTCCACTTTTATTCTCCTGCCTCTATGCTAGATTTTAGCTCTGGTGTAAGTTATAATTTAGCTGTTTTCCATGTATTTTTAGTGCCTGTAGTCTGCACTACAGCATGAACTGCTGCAGAGTATGGCGTAGACGTTAACTGTTTTCATTATTCCACCACCTCTTTTCAACAGGAAGATGTTTTTATGTATTTAGTCTCGTCTACATTAGTCTAGCACGAGTTTTCACCATCTGGAACTCTGGAGCTGTACATTATTCAAGGGGTTTTCGCCACATGATAACCTTCAATGTTTAGTACTCAATCTGGCACCCTTTAGACGTTTAATTCTCATTATTGGGACAAATAAATGTGTGTGTATATATATGTGTGTGTGTGTGTGTGTGTGTATATATATATCCCATTGCACGTTTCTGCTGTGTGAATGGCTCTTAAATCAATGTAGGGTAAAAAAAGGCCAAAGCTTTTCATTGTTATTGACATAAATTGTATCACAATTCGAAATAATTCATTTTTTTGCAATATGATATTTAAATAAAAATATATGCAATATTTAGTCTTCATTATAATATATTCACTACAATAATCGATTCAATAGTCTTCATTATGTAAAAAACTGTATACATTTAATATTTAAGCTACCAATTTTATAATTTCTTGAACCTAAATAGCTTTATTATATTTATATTTATATATATTATATATTTTTTGCTATTAATATTGCACTGTAGAGATTATTTAATCACCTTTTCAAGCTTATATCTTGTAACTTGGACTTTTTTACAATTCTTAGTTTACTTATTGTAATATTTAGTTTGTTTAAATCATGAGTTTTGGCTTTCCACTTTAATTCTGAATTAGTTTTGCATTCTTGACCTTGTTTCCTACAATTCCAAGTATGTTTTTTCAATTCTGAGTTTACAGCTCACAGTTCTGACTCTTTCTTGCAGTTCTGAGTTTCCACTCTGCAATGCTTTCTGTCTTGCAGTTCTTCTGTATATTGCATTTTCAGGTTGACGTCTTACACTCTGTTGCTTGCATTTCTGAGTTTACATCCTATTATTCTGACTTTTTTTTCTTGTTTAGGTCATGAATGAAAATAATTCTGAGAGAGTACTAAAAACGTTGACCCTTTTTCTCAGTTGCAAACTTGAAATGTAGAGAAATTTACAATGGGGAAAAATTTAATTGTAAGAATCACATTTATTATTAGTTTTACTTTAAGTAATTTTTAGTTAGTTTTTAGTTCAGTAGTTTGCATATATTGCTGTGTTTTGCAGAGTTACCTTTTGAACAGTTGGATGCGGTATATTTTCAATACTTTTTTTAAACAATTTTATTGGTTTATTTATTTATTAAATGTGTCTGACTGTGCATCACTTTTGCTTGGTCTGAATCATAAGCCTAATGAGTGGCTTGCCGTCACTTCCTTTGATGCTTTTGATTCAAGCCGCGTATTTGATAAAGAGTCTGGTGACGTTTTTGGGTTATGTGGTGCAAGACGTGGCCTTAACCCACATGACAGCCCACATGATCTGCTTGGTTAAAAGTGAACTGGAGTATCTGACTGATGAAGTCACGAGGGGGTTTATCTAGAATAGATGAACTGGATCAATATGGAAAAGAACCTTGATCGGTTAAATGAAAACATCTGTGAGTCTGCAGAGATTCATTCAAAGGAGCAGGAATGAATGGAATGAGGCTTGAATGCTCCTTTGAGACCTGTTCAATTATGAGATGTGACACAGCAAACCCTTTTAGTCAGACCACTCTCATTCATTTACCTCCTCTGCTTGGATTTCTCTCTTCATTCATTCAACCCACATGCTTGTTCACTAGATTCGTGACCCTGCTCTGACTTTCATTTAGGGATGATGCACTAAAATATATATAATATATAAATATTATATATAAATATAAATATATATAATATTTATATAACTAACATGTAAACATACAAAAAAAAAAAAAACTATTTCCTTGAAACTACATAATATTATGGAAAAGTGTGTAAAAAAACTTATATATGCACAAAAAGTAATTTTATTTCCATTGGTTTAGCATTTTCTTTTGATTAAAAATGTATGGAATTAGAATTTTTTTTTATTTTAATAAAAGCATATATATCTCTCCGTATTTTCTTGAATTGCAATTTTAATAATTTTATTAAAAAAATGCCTACCCCCATAACATAATAAATAAATTAAAGCTTTTTAAAATAGTAATATCTATTTATTTATTTATTTATTTTTGTTTTGTTTTGTTTTGTTTTGTTTTGTTTTGTTTTGTTTTGTTTTGTTTTGTTTTGTTTTGTTTTGTTTTGTTTTGTTTTTATTTTATTTATTTTTTTATTATTTTTTATTTATTTAATATTTTATTTTGTTTTTATTTTTATTTTATTTTTATTTTATTTTATTTCAAATATATATTTAGATATCATCCCACAATATAAACAAAAAAGAAAATAATAATTAAATGGTGCAAATAGTTATTAAATTGTTTGCGTATTTTTCTCAAAAAGAATTTCAAATAAAATATAAATTTGTACATGTTCATTCAAAAGTTCTGTTATTGGTTATATGAATATATTGTCCATCCATATTTCCTACATTACACAATGACATCCACTCTTTCAGCAATAAACCCTTTTCATTTGTTAAGTGCTTTGAAATATGCATTTTATTTGATGTTTGACACAATCTAAACTGAAATACGATGAGAAGGTGGGACATAGAGTAGCTCCTCCCCTTTAAAAATACAACCAATAGCGTTTTATTTTTTTACAGCTCTGCCAGTGAGAGTGGTTAAGCTCAAGTGCATCAAAAAAAAAAAAAAAAAGCAAATGAGAAGCATATTGAAGGGGGTGGGGCATGTCAGATACTGGAGAGCATTTGATTGGTTATTATGGTTTTATATCAGTTTTATATTTTCTAAATGTACATTTTGTCAATGTTTTGTGCCACACTGGCTTATAGATATCCTAAAACAAATAATACTGATACTAACATCTAAAAAAACTTTATTTTAATTTCATGGGACCTTTAAATTGTTGAATATAAATTATATGGATTCAAAAATGAGCCTCATCTACTTTCTTAAAACAGATTTTTTCCCCCCAGAAGCATTTTCCATTACATTCCCAGCGTTCGTAAACATGTTCATGCGAACAATCAAGCCAATCGGGTGTCCATTCATGTGTGTGTGTGTGTGTTTTTTATAATCATGTGTGTCTGCCCTCCGAGGAAGCAGTAACAGATGGCAGACGCGGCTCCTGATGCGCTTACCATAGTAGTGCTGTAAAAAGTCCAAAGAATCACACCCCGATCCCACAATCTCCTTATCAAATAGTGTCACTTTTCACAGCCAATTTCCACCCACGGCAATATTCGCTCTTCCGCGCGGGCTGTTTGTTCCTAATGCGAAATATCTGAGTCACGTATACACTCGTATGAGGAGAA